TACTTCTTTACTTTGCCATGAATGTCATTATTTCATACGTGACAGAAATCGCTTATGAGATTAAAACTTATATATGCCTGAGGCAGAATTCCAAATATGAAACCGCGTGGCGCGCTAACCACGCGATATCCAACGGCATCAGAAAGTAGGCAACTTACACACACACACACATACACACACACACACAAAAGAAAAAACACGCACGCGGTCTTCGTTAATAGAAAACGTATTTTGCTTTGAGACAACACCATACTTCCTAATCATGGGTATTTTGTACGATTATTACAGATTAGTTTGGGTGGGCTTTTAAAATAATACATTAGTTAAAAGGATAATTATAATTATTCAATGAACCTAACGCCCTTCCCGGTCGTATATCCAACAGCATATGCCCCCTGGTGGGAAATACAAGATTTATTTAGTTGACATCTTTTTCCCACATACCAGGCCTCTACTCCGAAAATGGTAGTAATAGTCTGGTGAATAAGAAAGAAACCTCTATACTGACGTCAAGAAAGAGTCTGCGACGTAGGACGGAAGCACGTGCATCACAGTTTGCGACGACTAACGGAAGCACGTGCATTACTATCGAGCACGCCATCACGTCAAATTCATTATAAATACGAGCTCTAGCGTTCAGTAGCTCACAGTATTTATTTCTTTAAAAAATAAAATCAAATTCACTCACCTAGTTAAAATTGCCACAAGTTACACACGAGGAAGCAGTAACTAAACAGCTCCTCCGATGAGTATACAAAAAAAAAGATACTCGTTTGTCGCCTTCAATTGGTAATCCGCTAAAATACCAGACGGTAACGAGTAGTGTAGAGAATAATTATACAGTTTTACCAGCTGTTCTAGGGCTAACGCGTTTACAAAGCAATCTTTCAAAATCGCGAATAGAACCACAGACAACTTATGGTATTTAATCGTCTGTTACAAAATAACGCTTAATACACTCACTCCACGTATGGTCAATTTCTACCCAAAGTGATTACTGTCGGTAGACAATGTAACTCTAGAGATGACGATTAATTTCCCGAGTCAACCTATTTGGATTTTGTATGATAAATGTATAAAAAGTAAATACAAATAAGCAACCAATTTTCTTAAATGTAGCGAACGCCATTTATCATCGTGATTGACACCGAACATATGCCAGTTTATCATACATATTGATCTTAATAAGTTATTGTTACTGTGGTTAATATTCTTCATTTTTTCTCTCTCTCTGTCTCTCTCATCTAACTGCGCCTATTATTAACGCAGTTCGTAATTTGCAATAATTGAACTATTCCTTCATTTACTGGAATTAATTGTCAATTTAATATGCATTGAAAGCGACAAAGATGTATAGTTAATTTGTCTTTTGAGAGGTTGCATACAGATTATTATTTAAGTTTTCGTTTATAAAATATAACACGTACCACTTCTAAGCAAAATTTAAAGGTAAAATGTCAAACAACGAACAATGTGTACAGGAGTTTTATTTAGAACTTGGTTGCCTAAGCAACAGTGCAGGGAAACTAAATACGTTTGTTTGCGCAAGACAAAGTTTCTTTAATAAAGTTATTTATTGGCCTGTGATTGGACCAGCACACTCTAAAAAAGAATATTATTGAATAAAATATTTAATTTTGGAAAACACAGTCCGAAGACAACTTTAGATCAAACTGATGTTTTTGTTATTTTTATGGGTTTCATTTTAGTAAGTATTCATTTATAACACTAATTTTCAACTTTTCTTTTTGGCCCAAGACCCATTTTTTAACATCGATGTGACGTCAGTTGCGACCTAGTGAATTTCTTTAATGCAAAAAAACATCTGACTTACTAAATACTCAACAGTTTACACATTTAATTATTTTTTATTATCTATTTTCAAAGTCTGTTCCCGACCCTTTCATACATTCTGACGACCTAATTTAGGGTCGCAACCCATGGGTTGAGAGGTAACCGCCCCGAGCGCAGATAGCCCTCGTGTAGCTTTGCGCGAAATTAAAAACAAACAAACAAACAGGTAACCGCCTAGTATTTCGTTTGCCGGATAGTAAAAGATTTTTGTTTTTCGCAGTATAAGTCCAAAATAAATTAATAAACGCGTTCGTAGGTCCATAATAGATAAATGCAATGTTAAATGAGAAATTTAAAGGGTACATCTTGGCGGAGGTTCGAGGGACCAGCGGCCCCTGACGGCTTGCTCTCGTTTTAATTACAAACAGAAATACTTGAATCGACATTGTAGTATACAGTTCATTGTATTGACTCAGTGTCAAGATGAGTCGGCGATATAACATTCCTTGTCACAACACTATGGAATAAGAATCTTGAATGTCCATTCTCTCAGAAAAGTTAGATTCCAAAATTCAATCCTGATGTGTAAATATAGAGACTCTGTAGCAAAGGCTAGATTCCAAATCAAATCCTGATGTCTAAATATAGAGACTCTGCAGCAAAGGCTAGATTCCAAATCCAATCCTGATGTGTAAATATAGAGACTCTGCAGCAAAGGCTAGATTCCAAATCCAATCCTGATGTGTAAATATAGAGACTCTGCAGCAAAGGCTAGATTCCAAATCCAATCCTGATGTGTAAATATGCGGACTCTGCAGCAAACATTATACATGCATATAAGAAAAGAACATCGGGGAAATGATGATAAACATTA